ACTAAAGTGTAAACCTTTGTGGCAGCATTTCAGATAACCCAGCAGCTTGTGGTTTTTTATTATTTATTTTTTTTCTAATTAAAATTCATCGCATATTTATTTGTATTAATCTAACTAATATTGATATATAACGAGTGTATTATATATGTTGTCTACTCATTTTTTTTTTTTTTTTTTTTTGCAGTTAATTAGGGATGTAATGCTTCTACGGAGATTCGTCTTCAATTTGGGTGAATGGTTTGATGAAGGAAATGCAGGTAATGTAGCTCTGTTGTTGTTGGCATGAAGGTTAAGTGATATATGTAGTCATCTTCCAAAATAGAACAGCTTAAATAGACATGAGCCTTTAATGTGAAATCTTAAATTCTCATAAAAACTGTAACTTACTGAGAAAATTCAGTGAAGAGTATCTATACATACCGCTTAGCAAATTTTAAGAATCAAAAGTGAGGATTGCCATGTGACAAATGGGTAATTATGGTTCAGTGACGGGTATCTATACATTCCGCTTAGCAAATTTAAAAAAAACTTAATACATTTAAGATTGATGATTAGATTGTTGCAGTATGGATGTTTGACTTTTTAGTCAAACAGACAAGTTTTGAACAGATATTGCATATGCCCGGCTGTAATTAATTTGAGTTGGAATCATGTATTTCTTTCATCTGAATTTGTTAGAAAATCAGGAGTTGTGCTGTATTTTGCAACTAAACAAGTGCCATGGTACTGTGGCTGTATATGACAAGGCTGTCTCAAAGAACAAAGATGATCTTAGAAATCATTGATATAAGGAAGTTGACAAATGCATATTAATTGATCAACTACTCAAACTCAAGATGATAATAATTGTGATTTACCCTTCTTTGAATCAGTTTCTCTTAAATGAATATCACAATGGACCTAAAAAGTGAGATTTTTTTTTCATTGACCTACAATATCAAGCTTATTTTTGGTACCCTAGATACTTTGTCAATGCTTGCATATTTTTTTTTACTACATGGTTTGTTAGTGATGGGTTATGGTTCTATCTCGGGTGATAAATCTAATTTCATCTATTTCATGATGTGATGTATTGGTTAATTTTTTTATGGGTCAGACTATTTTGTGGTAATATGAATTAGGATGGTTACATGTGAGATAAAGATCTACTCTTGTAGAAGCTTATTGTAGTAACTTGTTTTTATTAAGAGAAACAGTAGATGTACAGGCTTTTGATGCATGGGTAAAGAGGTGCTGAAAATGTGATGGTATCCACAAAAGTTGTGTTGCACAAGCTATCTATAAAATCCGATTCTTTTTCAATCCTTTATCACTCGCTCTATATTCTGTTATTCTTATTTAGATTCAAACATATGTTTAGTTAAAGCAGAGCTTAGCTTATTAACGAATTTAATCCACTAATTAATCATCTTGTTGCTACTTATGTCTTATTTAATTAGAGTAGAGCCTGTAATTAAGTAAGAAAGGTACTAATCTGCTCCGTGTAAGGAATAACTCATAGAGCAGGGAAGTAGTGTCAGTGTAAAAACTAATGGTGCAACAATAATCATTTTATGTAAAGATTTTAATATATAACTTGTATGTGTAACTTTCCTTGTATAAAAACTATTATGACTAATTTAGTGATGATGTCAAATTTTTAATTTTTCATTTAAAGTACCAATGGCTGGAAAACATTAAAGTACATTGCTATTAATAGTTAATGTGAGTATGTTGGCATCATGGTAAAAAACTATAAGTATGTTGCTGTTTTTCCTTCTTCAAAAGATTTCCCCCTTTTTGGTGAGTTTTATGTGTAATCTGAATCGAACAAACCAGACCAAACCATATCACTTGTAATTTATTGATGAAATGATTCAAGCAGGGAATGCTCGAAGATAATGGCTAGCTGACACCACAAATCAGGCACAAAGGGAAACTTTTTTCATTTTGATCTGAATCTGATGGAAACTTTCCTTATATTCTAAGGCTTATTCAATCTCATTGTCAGATTCTTGGAATTAATGTCAAACGCTATCAAGGAAGGATGGGAAAGTCAGCTAAATACAGAGCATCTTACTAGCAGGGGGTATTTTGGGTATATATGCTATTTAGTTTGTTACAGCGTACATAGTGCTTAATTATAACAGGGTATCATTATCTTTTGTCAAATCTGGTCTTAGAACCTTTGTGAGAGGCTAGGCTATCATATCTGTAGCAAAATCATTAGGGGTTTCTCTTGTATTTTAGTATCATCAATACATTCAGTGAAGCTTGTATTCCTGTTCTTGTTTGTGATTTTATATTAAAGTCAGTTCTTAGCATTCAATTTATTATATTTTCGGATAAATGCAAGAAGTAGCATCCTATTTTTATTTCTTTCAACTAAAGCATTGTACTTTCAATTATACATTCAGATAAAAGTCTATTGAGCTATATATCTAGAAGTTGCATTGTATTCGTCTAACATTACTAAATTGGGTGGATATTTCAGAGTGTAATATTGTATTTAGAAGAAACATAGGTGGCATACCAAATCGATGGAAGTTCTTAGTTAATTCGTCTATTTAACATTTACACTTTAAGTTGCTGATGATGTCTTTCAAAACGTATTTGGTAATAAACTTATAAAAACATGAAGTCTCTATGTTTATTTTGCAATTATAAAAATAATATTTTAATTACCACTTTCTTCTATGCAGTCCACGAAGCTATCAGTCCATTCAATGAATACGCATCTTCTAAAACTGATTCTTCTGGTTGCAGAGGTTATCACCAATGTTTTAAAACCCGGGTTGACCCGGCCGGTTGAACCGGTTGGACCGTGACCCGGTGTAGAAAGCGGGTCAATTGAGACCGGTTTTTTGTAAAAATACGAACCGGATCGAACCGGCCGGGTTTCCCCTAAACCGCGGTTCGACCGCCTATGTCGAACCGGTTAAAACCGGATTGACCCATTTTAATAGGGTTTGGATAGTTGGATACAAGTATCGAAGGTCAAAACAACGAGTCGTTTGCGATTTCTTTAATGTTTTTCAATGTTTAAACTTTGTGGACATCAAATTATTGGTTTTATATGTTTATGGATTATGCATGAAAATAAAAATATATAAAAATAGAAAAAGATCATAAACCGGGTTGACCCGGCGGTTCAACCGGTTGAACCGGTTGACCCGTGAACCGGTCATCACACCGGGTCAACTAAAAACCCGGGTTTTAAAACATTGGTTATCACTAACCTCAGGTTAATCCAGTCTCATGTGATTTGTAGGTATTTGATTTTGGGTTTTGGTGACACGCATATAGTTATTTTGGGGTTTGGAGCTGATGATCGTAACAGGAAACATAGAAACCTCGGTGCAGTGCCCACCCTTTTATTCACTCACACCAGGTGTTTGAAATAATGTCTCAGTAAAGTAAAGGTAGATGAGCCAAGGAGTAATGACCCACCCTTTGTTTGACACATATTAGGTGTTTGATTTTATGCCTTAATGAACATATTTGAGAAAGCTAGAATCAATTTTTATTTAGATAATGCGGACTAAATTGGTTACTGTTTTGGCATTTAATTTTCATGAGGAATGAAAATCAACTTTTTGTCATGGCTGATATATGCATTCCACACTTTTAATATCCAACTGGGAAATTGGGTTTTGATATAACACTTATCTTATATTTAACAAACGATGAACTTGATAAACAGAAAAAGAAGAGTAATATTGGGGAAATGCAAACAAACTGCCACATTCAACCACTTGCACTCAGTATATAGAAAGTTAGGTCAAAAATTTAATACCTCAAATCAGAGAAGCCAAATCTATGAAAATTGTGTAGTAGTGCAAAACCTGTGAATTTATTGATCCTCAATGCAGGATGAACTCAACTTGAATAGTTTTATGTCTTAATTGGTTAAGTAACATTGTTGTACTTTTTTTTTTTTTGTAATTCGTAACTGGATATTCTTAACTGTTACAGTTTGAAACTCTTTCAAACTTGTTGAAGACTATTGAGATGTATTCGTTTTCGTATCTCACCATGAACTCTTAAGCACAATTAATCAATCGTCACATTTCTGATGTAGAGCAATCAGGAAAACTTGCAGCAATCTCTTCTATATATTAGGAGGAAAAGATCAGGAATAAGGCTAAAGTTTAATCAGGTTTTTGCAAGTAAGTAGAGTAGCTGAAGATGGCAGAATATATTCCTTCTACTTGCTTTCATGGTATGTGCTTCAAGGATACCCAATACATATATTTCATCGACCCCTTCGATCGTATTACCATGGAATTATTTTTGTATCGCTTGATGGTCTTTATTTTGTTTCTTGATCGTTGAGTTATGTTCTTCGTGAGTAATTATTTTCACTTTCGTGGGTTTACGATTTCATGAAAACCTGTAGATTTCTCAAGTTATTCAAACACCCAAATTTTTCCAGGGTTTGTTTCTTTTCAATGTCAGTCGATGGATATTGATGGAAACGTTCATTTGATAAATATTTTACAATATGTTCTAACTTTCTATTAAAACCTTTTTCAAAGGGTTTTGAATTCGATTCTTTTGGCTTATTGATTCTATGTAGATTGTGAATATGGCTGGTACAAATGAAAATCTTCCAGATGTAATCCGCTCTACAAGAACACAACAAGGTAATTGAAACAAAGATCCACAAGTAGTAGTTCTTTCTACAGTAAATGTAGACGACCTGTTTGATAAAATGTCTGAATAACGAAAGATTCTTATAACTCTAAAACTTTGATGCTTTACAGGAGGAGGAGGAGGAGGAGGGGGATTAAAGGCAGGATGTGGGAAACCAGTGGCCCCACTTGGTCAAAACAGGAGGGCATTGAGTGATATCAACAAGAACATCATCAGAGCTCCACCAGCATATCCTTATGCTGCTAACGGATTACCAGGGTAATAAAATCAACTCATGTATCTTTCTTATTCACCCATTATTAGCCTCTGTGAACACTAATTAATCTTTTCTTTCCTCAAGTAAACATGTTGATGATATTCTCTATTATTTCTTTCTAGAAAAAAACCAATCGCTACTAAGAAACCTGTTCCAGTTCGTCGACCCATTACTAGGTCAGTAACAGGCCTATTTTTTTTCTTGAATTTGTGGATATATTGTGAACGAAAACACTCATCATTCCCAATTTTATTGTTTCTGCAGGACTATTAGTGCACAAACGACAACCAAACCATCACTTCCCTTGCCCACTGGCAAACCATCATTTCCCTTACCTGAGGTATGCACTTTTTATCTACAAGACTGGGTAAAAATGTCAATAGGGTGCATGTCAAAATAGATCATTCTCAATTAGGATGATAAAATCATAGTTTACTTCATAAATTTGAACATATGGGTTTAAAAGAGATTGTAGGAATTTGAGTACAGTTTGAGCGACTTTGAGGCCTATTTGATTTGTATTATGTTATATCTAAGTTTTTATAATGTATACATAAACTTCCTTTTGATGACAGGGTAAGAAGCCAAAAGTCCAAATTATCCCTGATGAGATTGACACTGAAGACTTGAACATCATTGATGTTGAAGATGATTTTAATGCACCGATGTTTGTTCAACATACAGAAGCTATGCTGGATGAAATTGACAAGATGGTAATTTGATTTCTCATCTTTTTTCTAATCCTTTTGTTCTTTTCTTCTTCGAAGTTGAAAATAGCTTAAAATTATTAGATCCTTATTTCAGGATGAAGATGTATACGAGGAGCCAGTTTTGGACATTGACAATGCTGATAAGGGTAATCCCCTTGCTGTGGTTGAGTACATTGATGAAATTTTTGCCCACTACCGAAAACAAGAGGTATATTTAATATTTATTTATTCTTTTTTTGTCATTATGATTCTTGTTTTATGTATTCATTGATGAAAGATTTGTATTTGAATTCCCATTTCTGATTGACCAAAATTGCAGGTATTGACTTGTGTTTCACCAACATACATGTCACAACAACATGACATAACAGACAGGATGAGAGGCATTCTCATCGATTGGCTAGTTGAGGTAACAACACAATATTACACAACTATTTAGTTATATTTATTTACACCAATTGCAAAATTAGAGCAAATACTAATAATAATATGAAAACAGGTTCATTACAAATTTGAACTGATGGAAGAGACGTTATATCTAACGGTCAACCTCATTGACCGATTCCTGGAACGTCAAACCGTGTCAAGGAAGAAACTGCAGCTTGTTGGGGTGACAGCCATGCTTCTTGCATGCAAATATGAAGAAATCTCAGTCCCTGTTGTTGAGGACTTTATTGTAATTTCAGACAAGGCTTACACTAGATCCGAAGTTCTTGACATGGTAATTAGATTTAGTGATCTACCTTCTGTTACAGGCTATATAAAATATAAAGAAAGTACTTAATTATGATATTTGTTTTTGTTTGATATTTTGCAGGAGAAGGTAATGGTGAATACCCTTCAGTTCAATCTCTCGGTTCCCACTCCATATGTGTTTACTAAAAGATTTCTCAAAGCTGCACAATCTCAGAAAGAGGTTTGTTGTTCTTCTTTGTGTTCATGAAATGTTAATCTTCCATACATACACTATTCAATTTTCAAGTTTCTTTATGCTTTTGTGAAAGAATTAATGTTTTGGGAAAACAAAAGGTTCTTTTTCTTTGATTTTGGTTTTTTGTTTTTATATATATATTTTTTCTGATGTATGTGGTGTTTTTGAATGTAGTTGGAGGCATTAGCATTCTATTTGATGGATCTGTGTCTTGTGGAGTATGAAATGGTGAAATTCCCACCTTCTTTACTGGCAGCAGCTGCAGTTTTCACTGCAGAATGCACTCTCAATGGATCAAAGAAATGGACAAAAACAACTCAACTTCATTCACACTATTCTCAGCATCAACTTTTGTAAGACCTTTTCCCCCCTTTTTTTCAACTTGTGCTCCTATTTTTATCATTTTTGTATAAGATTCTCCTTTTTTGTTTGAAAGTAATTTAACTAAATATGATTTATTTATGTAGGGAATGCTCGAAGATGATGGTTGCTTTACACCAAAAATCAGGCACAGGGAAACTTGTTTCAGTGTTCAAGAAATATGGCACATCCAAATATGGCCATGTGGCACGAACCCAGTCTCCTGCTCACTTCATGTTGGAGCCAAGATTCTGGGATTGATTATGAAAATTTAGGAGTTTGTTGATGTTAAAGAAAAACTGAAGTTTTTGATGTCTTCAGAGCAATGTATAGTTGCTCTTAGGTTTTTTAGGAGTTCCTACAACTATTTAGACCCGTTTGTTCTATTTGTGTTTGATGATTTCTTAACTATCTGTGTTTACAATGTTTCTAAGTATTGTTTTAATGCGAGAAGTATATGTTATTATTAATGTTGTTCTTTGTTTGAACTGCATTTTTTATTGTGGCTAGTTGAATGTTTGAGGGAAGGATGGAAGGGAGGCAACACACACGGGTGTGAGGTCAATATAATCGAAACACTAGATTTATTTTGGGAACTTTTTATTTTCCAACTGAATTGAGTGTGGATTTGTGGGACACGTTTTGACTATGGTTGTAGAGGTTTGTGTTTACCAATTCGACACACACCTTTGATAGTTGGAAGTTTGGTTCCTATTTCAAACTAAATTAGCATCATTTTTATTCCCTCACACATACACAGTTTGACAAGCACCGTTAACCTCCCTCATGCATGCATGTAACGTCTTTCCACAACATAACTTGGATACACCTTTTGTTCTTAATTTTCATCAAAACAAAATTACATTCTTATTAGTTGGGTTGATTAGTCTAGCCGAGCTAAACCAACTGAATGTTTGAAATGCTACAACTTCCTGGTATACATATGTTTTAGGTTTTGGTTTGCATTTTTATTTTAGAACTTCCTGGTTCTACGATTTTGGTTTCTAGTATCAATTTTCCAGCAAGGGTTATGATAGGTTGGGTGGTGGTGGTGGAGAAGACGTTGAAGAGAACGTGGAAGGGAAAGGAGAGAGGTGGAAGGATGGTAGGGTGTGGTGGTGTAACGACCCAAAAATCAAGGGTAAAAGTTTTGTTTTTAGTATAGTTAAAACACAGATATCGTTTAATCCAAACATTCCAACAAAATTGGTAATTAAAAACAATTATTAGAGTACTTCCCAAAATCACACATTGTGGAAAACACGGGTGTGTGCGCTACGATCAAGTCGGACTTTTTCTTTCCAAACCAATGATACCTAAAACCATAAATAAAACTGTAAGCACGAAAGTTAGTGAGTTCCCCAGAGAATACTCTACATAATCACATAAATCATATCAATCAC